CAGCCCCCCCCCGCCACCGGGGACAGGAGGTGGCTGCTGTCCTCCGGGACGGGGACACGGGCTGTGACCCCAAGGGGGACTGGGCAGACCCCTAAGGGAGGGGTTTGGTGTCACCCCAAGTGCCTGGGCATGTCACCTCCCTCCCTGCCACTCTGTCCCCAGCTGAGATGAGCTCTCCTGGGGAAACTGAGGCAGGGAGACTGGTGTCCCTGGCTGAATGGTCCCCGTCCCCATCCTGCCGTCCCATCCCAATGACCTCTGTCCCCATCCAAGTCCCAGAGGCCCCCATCCCCCCCATGATCCTCCCTCCCAGGGCCTCCAGCCTCTTCCCACCTGGCTCAGCCTGTCCCATGTCCCTGTACCCACCCCACCTGGCACATGGTCCTTACCCCACCCCACAAGAGCACATTAAACACGGTCACTTGGTGCCACTACACACTGTGTCCTGTGTCACACTCTGAAGTGTCCCCTGCTCATGCCCGTTTCCATCCAGGCCAGCCTGGTCCCCCCCCAGATTTCCCCGTGGGGTTCCCCACTGCCCTCTCCCACTCTTTGTCACTGCTCAGTGCTGGGTGACACTGGTGTCCCCCGGCCTGAGGACCCACAGAGACTGAGGGGGGTCTGAGACTTTTCGGGGCTCTGGGAACACCTTGGGGACAAGGTATGGAGATGCCTGGCATGGGGACACCTGGCTTGGGGACAAGGTATGGAGATACCTGGCATGGGGACACCTGGCTTGGGGACAAGGTATGGAGATACCTGGCATGGGGACACCTGGCTTGGGGACAAGGTATGGAGATACCTGGCATGGGGACACCTGGCTTGGGGACAAGGTATGGAGATGTTTGGCATGGGGGCACCTGGTGTTGGGTCACTTGGTATGGGGACACTTGGCATGGGAACACCTGGCTTGGGGACAAGGTATGGAGACGTTTGGCATGGGGACACCTGGGATGGGTCACTGGGTGTGGGGACTCTTGGCACGGAGGTGCTTGTTATGGGGACACCTGGCAAGGGGACAGCTAGGGTGGGGGACACATAGCGTTGGGTTGCTTGGTGTGGGGACACCAGGGGTTGAGGACACTAGGGGTTGGGGACACGAGGGATGGGGACACCCGGGATGGGGACACCTGGGATGGGGACACGTCTGAAGTGTCCCCTGCTCATGCCCGTTTCCATCCAGGCCAGCCTGGTCCCCCCCCAGATTTCCCCGTGGGGTTCCCCACTGCCCTCTCCCACTCTTTGTCACTGCTCAGTGCTGGGTGACACTGGTGTCCCCCGGCCTGAGGACCCACAGAGACTGAGGGGGGTCTGAGACTCTTCGGGGCTCTGGGAACACCTTGGGGACAAGGTATGGAGATGCCTGGCATGGGGACACCTGGCTTGGGGACAAGGTATGGAGATGTTTGGCATGGGGGCACCTGGTGTTGGGTCACTTGGTATGGGGACACTTGGCATGGGAACACCTGGCTTGGGGACAAGGTATGGAGACGTTTGGCATGGGGACACCTGGGATGGGTCACTGGGTGTGGGGACTCTTGGCACGGAGGTGCTTGTTATGGGGACACCTGGCAAGGGGACAGCTAGGGTGGGGGACACATAGCGTTGGGTTGCTTGGTGTGGGGACACCAGGGGTTGAGGACACTAGGGGTTGGGGACACGAGGGATGGGGACACCCGGGATGGGGACACCTGGGATGGGGACAATTGGGCTGGGGACACGTGGCGAGGGGACATCTGGGATGGGGACACCAGGGGTTGGGGACACCGAGGGTGGGGACACAAGGGATGGGGACACCTGGGATGGGGACAATTGGGCTGGGGACACGTGGCGAGGGGACATCTGGGATGGGGACACCAGGGGTTGGGGACACCGAGGGTGGGGACACAAGGGATGGGGACACCTGGGATGGGGACAATTGGGCTGGGGACACGTGGCGAGGGGACATCTGGGATG